ATTTTTTCTTTTAAATCATTTATTAGAATATTATTCATATTACTAGAATCATATAAAGCAGATATAAAAGTTAATTTGAAACTATTTATAATTTATATTTATAATATTAATCATCAGAATTTCTATATAGACTTCTCTTTCTTAATTAATATTATTATATTTTATTTTATATTAATATTTATAAAAGCAGGTAGTAAAATAATTTATAAAAAAAATTATATAGAATCTCTGTTTATCTTTTGTGAGTATACATATTTATATTATTTTTATTATCTTTTTTACTTAATTTTATTACTATATCCTGGACAGGATTATTATATGATTTATTTTTTATAAATTATTTTACTACCTGCTTTTATAAATATTGATATAAAATAAAATATAATAATATTAATCTTAATAATATAATACCTGTATCTAGACAGGATATATATATAATTAAGATTTTTAAAAGTAGTTTTTAATTAATAATAATAGTTTTAATTAATTATTTTATAATTAAGTAATAAACATAATGAATGATTAGATTATATATTAATTAATAGTCTTTATCTATTTATTAGTTTAGACGTAATAAATAATAGAAAATTTTAAACTAATCTATAAAATTCTGTAGAATTTATTCTAGAAATCAGTTATAAATTAATTTCTATAATTAAAAATAATTATATTTAATAATTTTATCCACATATATATCCCGTCTTAAAAAATATATTATATTTTATATAAATATATATTCAATATATAAAATAGAGGTTATATATTTATTAAAATAATTTATTATAATAAAAACTGTATCATAATTATAGTAATCGTCTTAAAAAATAATCTATCGAAATATATTATTATAAATATATAAAAATTAATAAAAAATAAAATAAATCTGGAAATAAATTATAATAAATCTGGAAATAGATTATAATACATATTCTTATATTTATATATTAAATAATTATTTATATAATATTAAATATTTCTGTTCCAGGTATTCCAGTAATATTAATATTCTATAAAATTATTATTTTTATATATTTAGAATATATAAATAATAGTTAATAATAAATTTCATTTAATAATTATATTAAAAAATCTTTTAATTAGGAACCACCAGCTAATTTTAATATAATAATAATTTCTTTCTTGAAAAAGAACTTTTATCTGATTCCTATATTCTCTTCTAAAAAATTTAAAATAAATTATAATAATTAATATTTAATATATAATTAATTATATTAAGATTTAGCTCCATGGAGATTATTATTATAATAAATTTAAAAAACATAAACTTATATTTAAAAGTAATCTTTAATTTTAATTAATCAGATTTCAGTAATATTTGAAAAAGAAAATTTTAGTAGTCTAATAGCAGGCTTTTTTATAAATAAAACATTAATTAAAACATTATTTTCAAATAATAATAAATAATAAAATAATGAAAAAAATATTTCTGTCCAGCAGACTTATCAGATAATAATTTATTTAATAATTATAAAATATTCCAAGACTTAGTAGACTGTAAGAATATTAAATTTATTTAATTATTATAATTTTCTTAATTTTTTATATCATTCTGCTAGAATTTATATAATTATTAATATTTTTTATTATAGATATTATAATTATACATAAATAAGAATATAGTTTTAAAATAATAAATTATATAATATTATATTTCATTAATTTATTAGAAAAGAATTTTTTATTATTTGATTAGTAATAATAATTTTTATTTATATAAATCTAGATAAATTATAATACATTAATATAAGTATAAATATTAGAACTTTTTTAAAATTTTTTACAGAAATTATTTTATATAAAAAAAATCTTTCTAAGTTAATTAAATTATGAATTTTATAATTTAATTTTACTTCTTTATAAATTAATAATAGAAATTCTAAAAGTCAAAAAAATTTAAATTTTTTTAATAATTATAAAATATTATTATTCATTAACTATAATAACTTTAATTAAATCTATATATATACCAGCAGTAGAGATTATAAAATTTATATTTATAAATAACAGTCTGGATGTTAGTAATATAAAAATATTCTAGAATTTAATATATATAAAATTTATATTTAATTTTAATTTTTATTAAAAATTAGTATATTATTAATATAAGTAGTATTGAACTTATCTAGAAAATCTATAAAAATTTTATTATTAACTTATTAAAAAGCTACCAGACTATTAATAAAATTAAATAATAATAAATAATATTTGTAAATTATATGATAAATAAAAAATATAATTAAATTTTTAAAGTTAGAATTTATACAGATTCAGTAAAAACTTTGATAAATATTAAATTTAACAAAAATCTTAGTATTTTTTAGTCAGTTTAGTATCTCATTAATCAGTAAAATTATATAAAGATTCTTATAAATTAATGTATTGAATTTTTAATAATTGATATAAAAATATAATTCCCCTCCGGGCTTCTGTACTATAGAAATAAAAAAAATAAATAATATCATATTAAAAATAATAAATCTTTTTTTAAAAGTTTTACTAATAAATTTTTAAACTTCCTCAAGTTCTTCTAGAATTATTTTTCATAAAAGATTATTTTTAATAAATTCTCTTCTTTTAATTTTATTTAGTAGTTGCGAGAGCAGGATAATAAAAAAAATATTAATTAAATCATAATAATATTTAAATAAGATTTATTTAATTTATTTCTTTTTTAACTTAAAACCTTAATCTATAAAATCTTATTTATTTATAATTACTTTTTTAAATATACTTAGAAACATAATAAATATCTTAAATTTTTAATTAAAAGTATTTATAAAATATAATAATTTTAATTAATATTATTTTAATTTTATTTAAAGTACTCTTGCTACAAGACTTCAGAAGTAAAATAATTTATTAATATTCAAAATTTTAATTATTAAAAGTATAGTTTATCTTAGCTAAAATCTCCTGTAGAAAATTCTAATAAATTTATAATAATATAGATTTATACTTTGGTATTAATATAAAATATAATAATCTTAATATCAGAGCAGGTCTACCAGCTTTCTGTGATCCAGCAGGTCGCATAAATAATATCTAATCTACTTCTATATTATATCTTACTAATTCTTTCTAATACTGTGGGAGGCTAGTAATCATTTTGAGATAAAATGATAATTAATATTTATATATATAATTAAACTTATTATATCTTTTATATTACTTTTAACAGTTCTAATTACTCTTTACTAAAGAAGGCCTGATAAAAAGAATAATATTTTATATTCAAAATATTATACTAGAAAAGGGCTCGCAGGTATCCTCTAATAATGTTATTATATGATTTCTATAAATAATTAAAATTATGAAAAATAAATATTTAATAAATATTAAAATTAATAAAATCTTTAAATTACATGGATCCTTCAGAAATAAAATTTATTATTATATTAAAATAATGATTATATAAAAAAGAAACCTAGTCAGAAAAGTATATTCATTAAAATAATTTAAAAATTTAAATAAAATAATAAAAAATATAGAATAATAATATTTTGAATTATAATATTTTTTACCATTCTCTTATAGCACAGAACTTCTTGGAAACGATATAATAAAAATTTTATATATATAATAAAATTTCCAGCCAGGCTTGTAATAGATAAAAAATATTATGAAAAAATAAATAAATATTATATTTATATAGCTTATATAAAAAACTATTTTATATAAAATATGTATTGTTTGATTTAAAATAATTTAAAAATAATAAATATTATCTTCTATCTTTACTCTTTATCATTTTTTAATAAAAATAATATAATAATAAAATACTTATCAGCAGGTAATCTATTTAAATCTATATAAAATATTATAAATTTCCTTTTTAATAATTAATGATAATATAAATCTGTTAAGAGATATAAACTAGTATATTTGAAATATAAAATAAAGAAATTATTAATTTGTATCTAAATTTATGCAGTATATTTATTGACATTATAATTAATTTTAAAGATTTATGTATAAAAGACTAATAGAAAGACCATCTATATATCTGAATATTAAAAAAGTTTTATAAGAAAACCTTAAAATATTCTAGAGAACTAGATATATATAATATTTTTATTAAATATTAAATATTAAAACAGTGTAAAGTACTCGCAGTAAAATAAACAAATATTAAGATATTATTTTAGAGAGTTTATAGTAATTTAGATAATGCAGAATCCCGGAAATATAAATAAAAATTTAAAAATAAATTTAAATATAGTAAAAGGAAGACTCTGAATCAATAATTTTATATTTAATATTAGATATTATTGATATTAAAAATTAAAATATATGGCAGCTAGCTGTTTAAAAAAAATAATTTAAATTAAAAATTAAATATTTTAGTTTTTTATACAGCAGCAGTACTGGAAGTCCAATTATAAAAACTTTTTATTTTATTAAAATATAAATAATTATTAATATATTTAAAGGACCCGCACTTGCAGGTATTTAAATAAATCATAATATATAAATAAATTTTATAAATTAATCATGAATAAAATAATAATTAAATTCATTAAACTGAGCTTTCTGTTATATAAAGTCTTTAAATAAATATTATAAATTATAAAAGTCAGAAGAAAACCAGACAACAGTAATTTAATAGTAAGAATACATAAAATTCTAATATAATATTAGATATATTCTAGCTATAAAGCTCAAATCTAGATATACATAAATAATAAAATATAATAATAAAATAAATACTGCTAAAGAATCTATCCCAGAATTCTTAAATAGATATAATAATGTTATAAATAATTTTTTTAAAAAAATCAAATAAATATCTTAATATTATATTCTTACCATGATTATACAATTAAATTAAAAACAGGAAAATAATTCCTATATTAATTAATTTATAATTTTTTAAAGACTGAATTCTAAGCTCTATATAAATATATTATAATTATATTATAATAAAAATAGATTTATCTCTCCTGAAGTCCAGTATATATATTTATTTATTTATTTTTTAAAAAAATAATATATTATATCGCTGTATAAATTATCAGGGATTAAATATAATTATCATTAAAAATCATTATTTTTTATTATTAATTAATAAGATAATAAATTATTTTAGCAGGATAAAGATTTTTATTAAATTTAATTTATATAATATTTAATATTATATCTGAATAAAAAAATAGTAGATAGAAAATTATTTTCTGTACTTGCTATAGTTGGTATAAATATATTAATATATTCTTTAAATTAATTAATAAATCTACTATATTCTAAAGCTATATATTATATTTTTTAATAATTTACTAGATATTTATTATTTTCTATATCTTAAGAATATTTTCTTATATTTATAAAGTTATAAAAAAATATTAAACATGTATAAGCAGTACTAGATTATTTGAAAAATATTAATTAGTAGTAAAAAATTTTAAATATAAATTTTATATATAAAAAGTATATTATTTGGGATTTGAAATTAGACTAAAAAAAGTTTTAATAAGAAAAATAGATTGATATACTTCAATTATAGTCAAAGTCTATAATTATATATAAAATCCTGATTTTTATGAAATTTATAAACTTCTATAAATAATTTATTAAAAATTATTTTTATATTACTTTCTCTTTCATAAAACTTATATACTAAAGAAAGAAGAAAGGAAAATCAGATTTTTGTATAATAATAAATTAAAATTACCAGTAATATATATTCCTGGACTAATTTTTAATTTTTTTAATTATTATAAGAAAAATATTTGAAAAATTAAAAAAGCTTTTCTAAAAATATACTACTTTTATAATATTTCAATTTAGAATTATAAATTAAGCTTGAGACAGACTTTTTAAATTTTATAATCAGAATAATTATATTAAAATTATAAATAAAAGAAACCTGGTATTTTACTATATTTTTCTTAAGAAAAATAACAGATATAAAATATAAATATTTCATAAATAATTAAAATTTAAATAATATTATTATTATCTAAAGAAAATAAATTTCTAATTTATAAGAAAATCTAGTTATACTAATCTTATAACCTTTCTATATCTTATATTTAAATAATTAAACTTTTAGTAAATTAAATAAACAGCTATTGATAATATTTAATTTTATAATTAAATACTAGCCCGGGAAAAAATCTTTTAAATATATTTAATTAATATCTAGATCTTATTTTCTCACTAGAGAAGATAAAATAAAGTTTATTATTATTTTTTTTATAAATCATAAATCTAAAAAAATAAATAAATTCTCTAAAGAAATACTAACAGAAAATAACTTGAGTAATTTTATAAAAAATTAAATAAATATTAAAATATATATTCGCCGATAAGAGTGCCTGTAAATATTAAAATATATTTATAAGTAATAAAATATTAATAATAATATAAAAATTCTAGATTTTCTGGTATTACGGATCTATATATATATAATAATTAATTTTAAGATAATATATTTTAATCTATAGAATTCCATAGTAGATTTATTTTATAAAATATAAGAAAAAGACCTATGGATATAAAAGTAAAAAATTAAATAATATAATCAAGAAAATAAATAAAATAAATTTATTTAAAAAAAGTAAATATATAATAATCCTAGCTAGCTCAGTAATAAAATAAAAAATATTGTAGATAAATTATAATATATTTATGAAATAAATATTATTAAGAATAATATATTTCAAAGAATATTTAATATAAATATTAGTAATATAATATACACGCTAAAATAAAAAGATATATAAAAATATATAATTTCTATTTAAAAATTTAAGTCTATAATTATATATTATATAATAACTAAAGTTATTTTTATAATCTAATAAATCTAAAAAAATAATAATTATAAATTTTATAATAGATTTATTCCTAAGTAAGTAGCAAGAAAAAGTCTATGATATAATTTTAAAAATAATAAATATATATATTGTATATATTTTATTTATTATATTAGAAAAATATTAATAATTTAAGCTAATATATAAGTATATTATATTTATCATTAGAGATATAAATAAGCTAGTAACTGACAGAGAAATTATTTTTATAAATAAATATTAAATAATCTTATATTATTATATGTATATTTTATATTTATAAAAATCTATATAATTATTTTCAAACAGACAGGCAGACAGAGCATTAAAATTAAATTCTTAAATATTATTTATAAATTTATTTAAATTTTCTCTCGATAACTGGACTTAATAATTTTTAATTATTTAAATAATCTATAATAATATAATTTATAATATTATAAAATTTATACTTTATAAAACACTAATAAACTTTATACTTTAATTATAAATTAATATAAACTAAAAGACTTTTCCTGGTAAAATACTCATAATAAATAAATAAATACTCCTATTAAGATTAAAAAAATACTTGAGATCTTGCCAGATAAAATAAAAGAAATAATAATATAATAATATAATTATGAATATAAAAAAAGATTTTTTCAATAAAATAAAAGATTATAGTACATATTAAGAATATTAAAATTATTTATTTAAATATAATACTCAATTACTAGTAAATTAAGTTTTTTTTAATAATTAATATCTAGAGACTATAATTATATAAATTATAATTATTATTAAAATATAAAAATTTATATTTAGTTTTTTATATCTTAATGTTTAAAATATTATCATTTTTAAATAGATAAGCTTGATTATTTAATTTTTAAATTAATCAGTAAATATTAAGAATAGCTGGTAGACAGAATTTTTATATATATATATAAAATTAAAAGCCTTAGAAAGGATTCTTCATATATAATAAAATTATAATTCTGAAAAACATATCTGGAAATTTCTTATAAATATTAAAATTATATAAGTTTATTAAAACTAATTATTTTAATTAATATAAAAAATAATACCTAATTATTAATAAAGATAATATAGATAATTTTTATTATATATCTTCTATTATTATTTATATTTTATAAAAAATATATTATATATATATATATATATATAGTTAATTATTATTTAATAATTAATTAATTATAAAAAAACATAAAAGAAAATATTAAAATATATTTAATTATCTATCTAATCACGCATGAATATTTAATTAAAGAAAATGATTAATATTATATAAATTAGTTAATTTATATTTTTATATTATGATATATACCCGAATAAAATATTTTAAATATAACTAAAAAAACAATAATGAATTATATATTCTTATTACTCTTGTAGCTAAATCTCTAGAATTAATAAATTATATACTAGAAAAATAATACTATTTTTCTAAATATAATTTAATATAAGATATTACCAGGCTGCATCCAGCAGCAGCAGTAAACTTTTATAATAATAATTATTAAATAATAATATTTACTAGAGATTTATTATATAAGTTGACCAGTAGTTATATCTAATATATTTAATATAAAGAAATTACTTATTAATATGTAAAAATAACAGCTAGCTGAATATTAACTATACTTAATATAATTAATAAAAATTATATAATAAAGATTATTATTAAAATATAACTTTATTAAAAAAGGAATATGAATAATATTACTAGTATATAAAATAATCGCGGCACACGGGAGGAGAAAAATAATAATAATACCTATAATAATAATTATAATAATAATAATAATAAAAATAAATATAACAGAAAAGATAGGTACAGCAGGAATAATAATAATAAAAAAATTAATTATAATAATAATAATATAAAACTATATAAATAATAATATAAAGACAGACAGCATGTAAAGTACAGAAAAAATAAATTATTTTATTTATTTCTTTTATTAATTTCTTAGTAAATAGTTATATTTCTAGTTATATACTTTAAAAAAAAGAAAGAGAATCAATAATCTAATATACAAATATATATAATATATAATTAAGCTGTATACAAACTCATGATCTACATAATATAGTTGTTTTCTTATATTAAAAAATATAGAATATATATTTTTATTATATAAATTACCACCCACGCAGAACAGTAAGAAAAATATATTAAATAATTATTATTATAAATTATATCTTTCTTAATATAATATCATATCAATTAAAAGTGAAAATTAGAAAGAATATATCATTAAATTATTATTCATTATTAATTTTATTATCAATCAATAGTATATATTAAATAAATAATAACTTTTTTATTAAATTTTATTATAATATATTTAGTAATTAAAAGAATTATTTTATTCTGAAATCAGTATACTAGTTAAATTATAAAATTAATATATATTTATTTTAGTATCTGTTAAAATATAAATAGATATTATTAATTTATCTTTTAATATTAAAATATTTATTATAAAATCTTTATTCTTTAGCCTAGCAAAGTCTACAAATTTAATATATTTAAATAAATTTTTATTTTATCTAAAAAGAAGACTTTTTTTAAATATCATTTTTTGTTTATTTATTTTCTTTATAATTTTTAAACACTTAATCTAAGCTATCTTTTTTTAAATAATCTTCAATTAAATATTTTTATTTCTAATAAATAAAACATTATTTTCTAATTATTATATAAATATAGTTTTCAGGATCCAGACTAGAATCATAATTTACAATTTAAAGAGATTTAAATATTAATAAAAGAATAATAAAAATAATAATATTTAAGATTATTAATAAGATATAATAAGATAATAAATTAATTCTTTTAAAAGAATAATATAATTAATTTATAAAATCTAAAGCATCAGCATAAAACTTAATAAATTAATTAAAATTTATTTAAACTATACTATAATTATTTTTTTAACTTTTAAAAATAATTATTCATATAGAATATCTTTTTCATAAATTTTAATAATACTAGCCTCTACTACCAGATATTAAAACATAGAAATGAAAATATAATTTTTTTTTTAATATTTATTTTAATTTTTAGTATTGCTATCAAGCATTATGTTTAAATTAATAAAAAATATTTTTAAATACTTTAGTATATCAGTAATAAACTTATAAAAATTAATTATTTTCAGATAAAATTATAAAACTAGATATTTTTAAATATTCTTTATAATAAGTATTTATATATATATAGATTGAATTATTAAGATAATTAAATAACTTATATTAACTTCCAGCTTCTGCTATGTTATAATTAATTAACTTTTAGAAATTAAAATCTTTTTATTACTAAATAT